TATTATGTGCTGCATTAAAGATGGAAGTATGACCTGAAAAAGACTTGATAGAAAAAAAAGGTAAATCATAGAGAAAAGATAAACGAATAAAATGAACCATACCACATATAAAGGACCAAGAATGAGAAATTTATATGTGGTATTGGAATGTCCCCAATTGCCAGGAGGATTTGAATGTAGGACAAATTCAAATCCCAGAGCATTGGGTTTCAGTTTTGGTCAAGTTAAGGTAAGAATTTCATTATTTGATCTAATTAAATCAGGCATGAATCACAATCTAGTGCAACCTCGTGTCTAGTGTCCTACTTATCTTCTAATCTGAGGTTAGATGTTTGGATTTCTTAGGGTCATTTGAAAATTAGGATGATAAACTATCTCTCAAGATTGTGCTTCTAAAATTTAGGATACCTGCACTTTAGTTTAAACTTGAAGTGTTCTAAGGTGTCTAATCTCAATTAAGTGTCTTTCCACTAACCCTCAAACATCTACAGATCCAACTTAACTCGCTATCAGACTCCTAAAACCTAGGGGTAAACTCATAGTTTTGATAAAGAGTTGTGAGTTGTGCTCCAACCCTAGTTAAAGGAATTGGATTTAAATTGATTCAAAGCTTAAGGGGTCCAAGTGTAAGTCCACTAATCTCTCAATCGTTATCTAAATTCTCATTTCTTCCGATTCCAAGTAGTCTTCCAATTTGCAATTCATTTTTTTTTCTTATGTAAAAGAAAAAGCAAAAAAAATGATCGGATCAATCCCAAGAAGGATATCCTTTCCTCGTAGCGCTTTTTTTATGGATCTCCAAACCCAAGATGGAATTTTAAAAGCCTTCTTTATTTCATAAAATATAGGATAACAATTCATAAATCACCAAAAATCATGACTCAAACTTGCCTTTCAAGAATCCTAAATGTGTGCACATTTGACTCAAGTATTGCATAGGTATAAGTATTTCCTGGATTCAAGCATACAGCACACACCATCTCATCATTATATGAAAGGAAATTAAACGCATTTAAACACAGCAATTCTATGCCTTTATGATTCCTCATTCTCAAGTATAAATTTACATACTCGGCATTTAAATTCCTATGCATTTATAGGTTTAACACCAACTTTATCATATAAGGGCTAGCATGCATGAATGAATGAAAGTTTAGATGTTAGATATGTAAATGCAGAAGAATAAAGGGGCATGCTTGTAAACTTTCCAAATTACATGATGCTTGGAACAAAAGAGATCAACGCAACAAGCATAAGGTGAATCAAATGAAATAATTACCTCCAAATTAGATATAATTCACTGCCCCTGTACATTTACACGTCAGCCAATCCATGCCTTTACATATATAGCACCTAAGTTTCACTTTTATACCAATTCCGCCCAAATACTGAAAAGGAATGCTACAGATGCATATAGTTGTTTGACAAACTGCATAAATAATTTTCCCCATACCCAATTCATCAGATTTTTGTACAAATAGGTCATCTAAAACTTTCCAATCTTTGCCACTTGCACATAAAACATTTCAGATTTTGCAAAAATAAAACACCAAAGTTTTCAGATTTTGACAAATAGGCCACCCAACAATTTCAGATTTTCACAAATTAGCCACCCAAAGTTTCAGATTTTGCAAATAGGCCACCTAACATTTCAGATTTTGCAAGACATAAGCATCAAGGCTTCCAACCTTTGCAAATAAGGTAACGATGCTTTCAGATTTTATGAGCAAAGCACTAAAACTTTCCACCTTTTGCAAATAACAAATAAAACCCTCCAGCACATATTTCAACCAAGGGCAGCAAAGGAGTGCAAGATAAAGACTCCAGAAACATGATTTCTAACATTTAATACACTCTCCAGCATGTATTTCAACAAAGGGACAGCAAGAAGTGCAAGATAAAGGCCCCAGAAACATGATTTCTAACATTTAATATGATTCCAAAAAGAGTCCAAACCGAGCCCATCAAATGAGCTAATTAAATAGAGAAAATTTTTCAATAAAGATCCAACTTTAAAGAGCCAAACCAAGCCCGAAATCTTGCTTCTACATGAGATAGGAAATATTTTCATGCCATCCGAAATATTGAAAGAATAAAAGAGGGGAGAAGAATACCTCACTTCAGCAGATTTAAAGCAAAGCACTGTAAAACAGGTTCAAAAAAAATACTCCCATAGAAATCTTTCTTAAAAGTCTCACATAAACAGCCACCCACACTTCCTCAGCTCCAAGCACAAGAGAATGAAAAGAACAAGTGAGAATGAAGTTAGAGGAGATTTTTGGCAGCACTTCCTCACTTTCAGAATTTCGGCCAGCACACACACACCCTCCCAAAGTGGTGTTTTAAAGCAAAGAAAAGAGGAAGGAGAAGCCACCTACCAGCCACCCATTCCAGCAAATCGCGTGAGAGGAGAGGAGAAAAAAAATTAAGGCAAGAAGAAATGCAACCTGGGGCAGAGAAAGGGTCGGCCAGGTGGAATCCGGTCGCCTCGGGCGCGGGACACCGAGCGGCTGCGGGAGA